AGACGTGGGCCTGCGCGGGGTTTAACGTCGCCGGGCCGCACCTTCTGCTGGGCCGCAGCAACAAGGTGAAGGTCACCGAAACCAGCAGCAGTCAAGGAAGGAAAAAGACCAAAAGAGAGTGGTTACGTCTAAAACCGCTTTTGAAATGACGTTGCACGTACGCGCGGTTGCGTGCATGTCGCGTCCGCGTTTCTGCAGTTAAAACATGAATGCACGCGTGTAAAGCGCGCCCAAGCAGCGCCTGTTTTCGAGGCCCGGCTCCTGCAGACCCCCGTTCGCCCAAGCAACGCTCCCGAAGTCAATGGAAACGCTCTTGTAAACAAGGACTTACAAGAACCCGACGCGACAATGATTTCAAAAGGAGTTTTGACTGCGCAATTGTTGCCGGATTAGGGGCTTCAGAAACGCCGAGCTGGCGCTGAAGAGCGCAGAATTCAAATCTGCAAAGCGCTGGGGGCCTCCAGAGCGGATCCCGGGAAGCGCTGCAGGACACGGCCTTAAGCATGGGAATGGCTCCCGGGCTCCCCCCCACAGATGGGCAGAACCCCTGCGGAAGGGATGGGAGCCTCCAAAAAAAATACAGGCTCCCTCCCTGTTCTAAGCTGCTGACCTAAACTGAACCGTATCGCATCGCCGCCTAAATCAACGCAGAATAAACTGTACAAGTGCCTCGTTGCAAAAAAGAAAAAAAAAGGAAAAAAGAAAAAGGAAAAAAAAAAAAAACAAACCCACTTGGCAGGCACGATGCTTTCTACAAAATAAGCCCATTTGGTGAAATTCTCATTTAAAATAATCGATTCAACACCAAAACAGCAGCATAGACCAGAAGTGCAAACAGCAGGATTTATCAGTGGCACTTGCCCAGATAAGTAAAAGTTCGTCATAAATAGATCACCCATTGCTCTGCTTATATAAACGCAAAACAGAGCAGCAAAACATAGCAGCAATACAAAAGACAAATAAATGAGTTAGACACGGAGTCCATGAGTTTAAGAAGTCTCCCCTGTATTTAATAAAGCATGATTTTTTTTTTTTTTTTAGAAACACTAACAGATCCCTTGCAGATAGTTTTTATCTTTATATTATTATATAAGACATTTTGTGTTTAAAGTGAACTATTGCTTCATCTAGGTGGCCCCTCCGCTGGGCATAGAAACTAGGTTGTGAACAAAATAAAAAAAAAAAATCACCATTGAAAATTACAAATCGTACAACTTTAAAGCATCTTGATTATTCTTTTTTTTTCTCCCTCAGTCCAAAGAGATAAATAATTGAATCGCTGGGAACGTAGTCTCTGTTTTAGCATAAATTTCTGTGCCTACGTAAAATAAAAAAAAAAAAAGAAGCCAGCCAGAGTCACGATTAGTTGAGAGACGAAGGAAAAGACGCAATTATAGTTCATCCCATTCTATTAGCTCAGCAGGTGGAAAACACTTAAACCAGTGACTTTTCAGAACCGAACCTAATTCTTTGCTTCTACCACAGGTCAAAGCCCTCTCGGCATCAGTGAGACTTTTGCTTTTGAAGAACTGAGTATTTGGGATTCTGCAGTCATTTATAATGAAAACATTAAATCTGCCGTTTCACAAGGTTCCAGACTTTTTTGTTTCCTTTTTCTCCAAGAAAATGAGTACGGATCTAGCGCAAAGCAAAAATATTCTCCCCCGCTGCCCTTCAGAGAATTCCGTATATACCAAACGCTATTAAACAATTGACTTGGTATCAGCTCTGAAAAAGGATTAAAATTACTTTCGTGACACTGAGGTTATGCTGTGTGCAAAACCATCCAATTAGAGGAGAAAAAAAAAAAAAGAAAAAAAAAGGGAAAATTACCTTTGGAGAATGAATTTAACTAAACCCGGATCAATTAAAAACCGTATCTTTGCAAGTTTTTTACACGTACAATACATTTTTGTTTACGCTTAAAAGCAGCATTCGGAGGACGTTTTCTCTTCGCGTCGACCGAGACTAGGTTAATATCTTTAACAATTTGATTAGCTGCCAATTTGGAGACTTAACGTACAGCGGAACATATTGTTTGTACTTCAACAACCGCGGCTGCCGATGGAAAGAAAGGCTGGAGCTGCCGCTGCCTGCTATCTGCAACGCCACCGGGGGTTTCGGCTTCTACCAGCGCAAACGAGCGATACAGGATTATCAGCAGAGTGGATCATTCTTTCTCAGGGCTATTTGACTCAAGAGAATCCATTTAAAATCGCTTAAAACATCAAATGAAACACAAGTTATCTAAACATCAGATTTTCTAATTTTATTAAAAACGCACAAATTTTATCCAACATGTTTTCTTTCATACAGTGAATGGTCTAATATGCACTGGAGGTCACACAAGCTTAGGTTTATTAGAACAATAAAAGACGTATGAGAAATTTAATATATAAAGAAAAAAGTAGCAGCTGTTGACTGCATATTTGACCATAAAATTTAAATATTTTGGACTTTTATTTTAAAGACACAAAAATAAAACCTGTGTGGGTCTATATAAGTCATATTAACAATTCCATGAATGTTCAACAGGACTAAAAATTAGCAAAGATGTTTGTTTGTGGTTTTTTTTTTCTTTTTTTTTTTTAACCTTGTAACACTTTTTTAAACACCTTCTCGGGTTGCTGGTGCAAAGCACCTTACAGTATTTGTGCTATATATTTACTTTATTTGGCAACTGTCTGGGTTTCGTGGGTTTTTTTTTTTTTTTCTTTGCCTTCTGTAAACAACACCTTTTACAAACTAGCACAGTGAACCACAAGCCCTGCAATCTGTTATAACATCTACAGAAAAGAAAATGAACTATTTTGGTTGGTTGCTCAAAATATTTTGCTTTTGAACAAGAGGTTCGAAAACAGGATTTATTAAGTAAAACAGTGAACTCCTGAATTTAACATTAGACGTAAACAGTTGACTGTTTTTTAGTTCAATAGAGTCTTTTTGTTTAGCTTTTTCTCTCTCTGTGAAGGTAGAATACTTTTTGTTTGTTTGCTTTTTTTCAAGTCATTTTCGTTAGAGGTCTGGGTGGTGACCTTTGCTATGATGAGGAGGTTTTGTACGTGTAGCTTTGTGAAGGTAGAAGAGTTGGTGCTGAGGGCTTAACATTTAGTATTTGCTATTTTGGAAAAGAAAACAAAAACAAAGGAAAAAGAAAGTTGTCCCACCTGATAGTCAGCAGGCTGAAATGGCTGAAGCTAAAAAGAGTTTCTTGTTGTTGAACTTTCTGAGAGACAAAAAATTAACAAACAAATTCATAATGCCAGAACCATCCTTAACCGGGAACGCTAGAGTTCTTGAAGCTTTTTTTTTTTTTTTCCTCCCCCTTTTCTTTCCCCTTGCCTTCATTCACTTATTAATTTTTTTTTTTTTTTAAAATGAGAAGTTTCTAAGGATTGTGGCTCTTAGGATGACATCCAACAGGGTAATCAAACTTAACGCCATCCTACGGTATGGCAGCACTTTACTGTACAGCTTCACCAGTTTCTTTGTCAATGGTACAAAAAAAGTCCCCTTGCTTGTTTGACACAACCATAACATGAAGATTGTCCTGGTCTAGAGCAAAGCTTGCCTTGGAGCGATTTGGATTCAGTTCGTTCCCAAGGTAATATTGTCTTAGGGCAGGAGAGATGTTATATTTATTCATTTCTGTACACCATAACAATAAGCAGACTAGATGATCATCACTTACTTAGACCCAGTTTGTTTTAAAGCTACCACACAGCCGCTTCATTCATTTCTGGGGGATGTGACAAGTGATTGCCATAGTTAGCACCACCGTTGACGGATATCGAAGAAAATGGAGGACTGGGGCCAAAAACTTCTGCGGACATGGAGTGCAAGGACCCGGGCAGGTTGGGTTCGGGGCTGGGCGAGTCTCCGGGGGGGTGCGACATGATGTCAGTGAAGCGCTGGGCCTCGCTGGAGGGGTGATGTCCGGGCAGGGGGTGATCCATGGCCCCCAGCGGAGTGCCTGACGGCCCTGAGGAGGGCACGAAGGGGAGATCCACGGGCGTCTGCGCTTGAGATGACGGCGGTCCTTGCGGGAAGAAATCGTAATTGCTCCCAGGGCCGTAATACTCGCTCTGATAATCTGGCGGACAAGGAGAGATGGAGGGGAGGTAACACGCAGGCAAAGCACGCGGCGCGGGGAAGACACGGGAGCGCGCTTCGACGGC